TTTCACTTCCCTATGAATGCTTAAATAACACGTTGCAGTTCCGCTATAAAACTAGGATTTTGTCAATGCCAAATCCACCATATTTTTAATAGTTAGGTCGGTTATATATGACTTTTTTTTTCCCTTATTTTGGTTACAATTTCCAGTAAGTACAAGCTTAGATGATGACTGTACGACATTAAATGATAAATTTATTTAAATGTAATATTACATAATTAATTTTAATTGAACTTATCAAATGTGATCATCTAGATTGGTGCTCTAACACTATCGATACTGGATGGTATTATTCTTATCCAATATACTGGCCAATGGGCATTGAAAAACGTCAAAAAAAAAAATGACAAATTGCAAGTTTAATAATTTGTTCATTATTATTATTATTATTTTATTTATATATTAAATAGTTTATAATTTTTTTTTCAATCAAAAGGAGACTTAAATTAAGACGAATGAAATTGAGTTTATAGATGGTCTGACGTTATTCGACTATGATAGTTACTTAATAACCAACCAAAATCACAGTTAGCATTTGGTCAAAAGTTAATCAAACTTAATTTTAAACTATTCATAACATTATATTTTAAAATTGAGATAATAATTTTTAATTCTTATTACTTGTTTAAAAATTATTATTTTCAAGCGCTACCTATGTGTTGTAGTTACATTTTACCTCCTTCAAAATAAAAATGTTATTCCTGATCAATCCCACTTGATAAAGATCAGTTCAAATTCTTAAATCAATCACCAAAAAATGGATTAACGTAAAATATTTTTTTCTAAACAAGCTTGTTTTGTTTCTGTTTACAGTTCTGGGAAGTATGGGTAGTAACCATTCAGTTTTTTCTGCATAAAAATTTATGTGTGGTCCCTGTAGACGATAATTTGATTAAGAATCAAAAAATGAGCACTCGAATTTCAAATTTGTTAGTTCAAACGAGCTACTATCTTGTTAGACATGTAAGATAAATTTGACCGTGTTTACTGCACGGTGGTTGCGTTTGGGAATCATTAAAACAGCACAAAAATATTCAAACACATGCTTTGAGCACGAACGATATCTTTTTGTGTGATTATGCCCCTATTTGACAACCACTATTTTCGAGCTTTTTTTCCACATATTCATTTTCCCCTACAAATTCACACAATAAAATATTCTGTATGTAAACCTAAAATTTTTCCGTACTTTTTAACCACATATTCTCACTATTGAAAACACTATTTTGGCCGAATAATGACCATCAAGCAGGGTCTATCTTTGACTTTTTTCTACTTTTATACATAAAGATTAAGATTTAGAGGGTACAGTACATTTATCACAATTGTTCAAGGTTCTAACCAAAAGGTGGTTTCATGCATCACAACACAATATGGCTGCATTCTTATTATCTTTTTATTAATCCCGAGTCAAATTGTGTTTGGATTCTTACTCGTATCAAACCATGCAATTATCACAATAGTTACAAATACAGATGATCAAAATTTATGCAGAAGGAAGAGGAACGTAACTAATCCAGTTAAACAAGAATAGAAAATATAAATGAACAAAGATTACAGTTTAAATAGTAATCAATATGGATTGGTCCATCTTACCAAACTAACCAACACACTCTCTTATGACACTCCCCCATGCATATGGGTTCAGTTTCTAATAAACTATTCGATAGTATCCAATAAAATGAGCAAGATTCAAGAAAACACAATAACAATCTTGTGCATCAAATCCATCCTAGCACAAAGGACTATCATAAACTATTCGAAATTATCCAACAAAGTGAGCAAGATTCAAGAAAACACAATGTCAATCTTGTGCAACAAATCCATCCTAGCACAAAGGACTCTCTCTTTGGAGAAAGGGGGAAGCAGGCCTCACATAGGTGAAACCCTGGAAAAGGTCATCAACTTTAGGACTTGAAACTGGAGAATCTGAGACTGGCATTTCTGTGTACTGCTTATCAAAGTTAGCAATGCAATGTTTTCCTGCAACTTCGGGCCGAAAACTTGGTTGTATTGCCCTATCTTCCAATTTCTTCCAGTTGATCAACTTGAACCATTTATGCCTCTTTATTTCATCACTTCCCTTGGGTCCACTACCAAGCCGCTTACTCGGGTCCTTTTGCAGCAGCTGCGACACAAGAAAAAACTTGCAGTCAGTTTTTAAGTGTTAAGAGAAGAGATGGAAGATGATGATGAAATCCCTTGTCGTCATCCCAAAATCAAACAATATTTAGGACATCTTGCTTACACGGTATAAACAAGATTCTACCTTCTTTTTCCTCTTTAATAGTGTCGAGCTACCAAGCAAGCAATTAGTATTGTAGACAGAAGGGAATCACAACAAATTGTTCTCGTGGATAACAGATTTACAATTAATGGAGAAGGAATAGATTTCTTAATGGGATAGAATTGGGTAAAAATAAGACAGGGATACAAAAGATTACCCCTTTCAACAGAGAATGTGCCTCACTTGACAGAAATGCTGGCAGCTTAATTTTATCTTTAATAACCTTCTGTTGAATTTTGTCTCTATTACCGCCAATGAATGGAGGCTGCACAAAAAAGGGCAAATCAATGTGTAACATATAATCAACTCAACAATTCAAGAAACATTTTCCCAATGTATCGTAGGCCATAAATTTTCTAATTACTATTCATTTCCAGCAATAGACAACCGGTATAGAACATGCTCAATTCACAATATCATGCCTAAAACTTGTTATATAAAGCTAACCTTCCCAGTAAGCATCTCGAATAACAGAATTCCAACACTCCACCAATCAGCAGCCTTATCATGGCCCTTACCAAGAATAATTTCCGGTGACATGTATTCTACAGTTCCACACATAGAGTTTGATCTTGTATTCTCTTCTAATTGCTTCGCTAATCCAAAATCAGTGAGTATCGCCTACAATAACAATGAGAACAAGATTAAGAGGATATGGTAGTTCATCACTGTGTGCACAAGATGAATCCTGCACACAGAGATTTGAAAGTGCAAATACACACACAGAGGAAACGTACATGGCCATCTGCATCCAGTAGAATATTCTCAGGTTTGAGATCCCTGTGCATTATGCCCTTAGAATGAAGGTGAGACACCGCCAAAACGATTTCTGCTGTGTAGACACGTGCCAGATCTTCTCTGAAATGTAATGAATCAATTTAGAGAGCCAGACTCCAGCTATAAAAAGAAAACATCCAAAGCAGAATCAAATAAAATACCTGAAAAGGCCATGATGATATAGTTGAAAGAAAAGGTGTCCACCATTAATGAAGTCTAGCACCAGGTAAAGTCGATATTTTGTCTGCAGATCAGAAAGGACCAAAAGTTGCATTCTTCAACTATAGCTCCGAATGATGAAAGAGCTGACTCAATTTTTATCTCATACAATAAAGCAATTACATTGTATTTTCATTTACATAAACCATATCACTCAACCCAGAAAAATAATTACCTGGAATGAGTATCTGAGTTGAACAATAAAGGGATGATCTATCTCTGTTAAAATATCCCTCTCTGCTTTCATATATTCAGCATGGTTTTTCTCCATGATCTTATCCTTCCTCATGACCTTCATTGCATAAATTTCTGACGTGCCCTTTTTTCTTACTTGATACACTTTTCCAAATGCACCCTGTCCAACAACTTTGAAAACCTCAAAATCCTCAAGGCCCACAGTCTGGACCTTTGTCAAATCATCAGGAACCTCCTCAGCAACAGAATCAATCTCTGAGAGTTCTTGATCTTCTTTGATTGTCTTGTTGATAACACAATCATCAATTTCAATTGGACCCTCTTTCTCATGTATGGTGAGTCCACTGAGTTTCAGAGATTGACTAACACAAGCAGAAGGACCAACCAAAGAATGTGATCGGTTGTATATAACTTCAGGATCATCATACACAAGCTCATTCACATCTGCTGTTCCAGATTTTCCATTACTGAGATCTGAGGAAGCTTGGATTGGCAGTGGGCCAAATACATCAGAAAAGTCTAACTCAACCTGCTCAGAAGAAACAGCATCAGGAGGATTCACAGGTAAGAGCATCTGGAACTGAACAGGCTTGTGTGTGCGAGCTTTTGGTTGAGAAGGTAGATGAGAAGAAACCATGATGCCAAATACTAATCGAGGGATGCAGATGACCAATTATCAAACACTCCTACAACTGGCTACAAGTGGACCACTTCCACGGTGCAAATTAACTAAAGGAGTCTAACAATAGCCTTAATTAAAGAATCATTCAAGTTCAAGGTGCGAGTTTTAAAGAACTTTGAGAGCAAGCAAACGAGAATCCAGAAAACGAAGTCGTCCTTGTTTCCCGCTTTACAGGAAACTACAGATGCCACAATGGTTCTCGAATTCATGAAGATGTGGTAATCAAATCTGCCAACCAAATTAGAAAAGATGTCAAAAATTAGAAGTATGGCTCCAATAGATTATAGTTATCTAACTAACAGTATTTCCAAAATATTCCGCAACGTCCAGTAGCGACAATTTTCGCAACAAATTCAGAATCTTAGGAATAAAACTAGAGTAGATAACGTGAAGCAAACAATTTAAATTATCCGAAGTATCTGCAGTTAATCTAACTGTCTGACCCAATTAGGACGTGCCCAAGAGTATTATTTATTAAAAATTACATAAAATACATAAACAATAACTAAAAAAAGAGTGCTATCACTAAGAATACACAAATTGAACTGAGTCGCTCAGGAAGAAATAATTTAGTACCTCCTATTTTGATTAAGTTAATTTTGGTGTGTTTCTTGTCAAGGAGGTAGAAACATACAGCAAATTACACCCTCCCAAACAAGTATGAAATATATTCTGGTAAGATATATTGTATACACCTTTCTCATCAGTTCTATAAAGTTCTGAAACTACAAAAAGGGAATATTGGGAGGAATCGAGAGAAAAAATCTGTCCAAGCAACGAAGCAAATACCAAGTTTACCAAATATAGAAAGAATCTTAGGTAATGCAAGTTGCTTTGAAACTTAAATTCAATTCAACTAGTAGTTCTTGTACATCAAAATGAATATTGATACAGAAAGAACTGCAATTATTTAAATATTTTATTACTTGTCCATGATTACATAAATCTTTTATTTGTATGCAAACTAAAATCATAATAAATTTATCAGCAACGCATCATATCGAACATCCAGAAATTAACACCTCAAGTACTCGTATCAGAGCCCCTAAATTTCTTCTTGAATTTTTACAAATTTTACGAATTAGGAGACTTCGCAAGACGATAAGTATTTAACCATCAGCAGACACAATATACATCAGATCCCAAAGCAAAATCTCATTTTCCTGTATAAGTAGACAACGCATGAGAAAACCCTAAAAAATGACATCATATGTTTGGAGTTTCTAACAAAATCATTAGCCGTCATCACAGATTTGGCCAAGAAAATTTAAAACGTCCTACAAAAATTCACCAAGGAAGCTTTTTAATTCTCCAATTTTATAATTCTAACAGATCCACAAAAAAACCCCATCGAAAACTAGATTGAGATCTGAGCAAGCAAATTATATTTATTAATACAAGTGTCCAGTAATTTGTACACTTCAAGAACACCAAATCATCCCAAAATAAGATTAAGATTCAAACTTTAAAAGCAAAAAAAATAAAAAATAAAAAATAATAAAAAAAAATAATAATAATAATAATAATAAAAGAAGAAGAAGAATAACTCAAAAAACGGAAGCAAATCAAAAGTTAAAGAACTCAAAAACGGAGGCAAATCAAAAGTTAACGAACGAATATGTACCTTGGGATAGCTGCAGAAAGCGAGAGAAGGGAAACTAATTGGAACGTAATTTGAAGAAAACTGTCCGAGTTTTGCTGATTAAATGGGTAGATCACGAGTCAAAATAATGTTCTTGAAATTCATGCTCATCCAATTTTGACTCGTGACACGTGGTTTGAGACTATTGGTTGAGGGAGTCCAATTTGAGCGGCTGTTATTGGTTGGAGAAGTTACTCAAATTAACCAATGCACGAAGATTATCCCCATATTGGACCTCCCACGGAATATGCCCCCTTTTTTTCAATTATTTCTAAGAATATGCTTTTCTTCGTTTTGATTGGATTTGCAAAATTGAGGTTGGTTTGTACTTTTTAATTGCATAACCCTACAACACATTCTACTGTTAAGATTAAAATCAAATTTTTAGTAAATTTTGATAAAAATTGATATAATGTGTGATAGAAAAATTGTGAATCTCAAAAAATATACGATTAAAATTAATTGTTAACTTTGACTATTTTAATCACGTTCAAACAGAGGCTTATTTTTGTTTCTCTATCTAGAAGGTATTTTTGCTCTCTTCACTCACAAACATGTTCGTACTTTCCAATACAATATCGTTTGGGAAAGAGGAGAAAAAGGTGGTTTGATGACCTTTCCGATTTTTGACATTTTATCTTATAAGAAACATGTAAAATCATTGGACCTTTGGTATTTCTTGTCATTATTATTATTATTATTATTATTATTTTCAATTTTTTATGTGTATTCCAGGTTGGTATATGAAAAGTAACATACTTGAAAATTTTGAGTCATGACACGTGAAATTTGGCACTTATTCTTTTGATAAAATTGAGACTCAGAGCCCGTTTGATACACATTAAAATGAGAGAATGTATTTTTTTGAAGTGATGTGATAGAGAATATTACAACTCAATAATCAATTGTCTTATAGCATAATGGTGAGCTGGAATGGTGATTTTGGGAAAAATTCATAACTATCAATATGTAAATATACACTTTTAAATTTGACAAACTTGTGAAATTCTTTTAAAAATCAAGTGGTATTAATTAAATAAATTTTCTTAAAGGTCATAATAGCATACAATTTATGATCGTAGTTATGTATTAATCACAGTCACAGAACGTTATAGCCACAAATCACAAATTTTATAAATGACAACTTATTTTTCAGTCACAAATTAACAAATTAATTGATCGGACTTATTTTTCTCGTACACTAATCGCAAATTTTTTAGATCGCAACTTATTTATATGCCATAAATTATCAAATTAATTGATCAAAAATTATTTATTTGTCACAAATTATCAAATTAATTGATCACAATTACCCAATCAAATTGTCTCAAGTTACCCTTCATCTCCCTTACCTCACCCTACTCCATTCCACCATCGTCGTCACAGCATAAAATGCGTCGCTGCCTCAGATCCACAACCCACCACCTCAGGTAATCATAGGCTTGTCCCCTCCAGATGCAAGATCTTCGTTAAGTTATTCTCATCATGAGTAGCAGCGTGAACTTCTTAAAAGTGTTTGTATTATTGTCCTCATTTACTAGTTTTAAACCAAAGTGTTACCTATAGAAGAAATGAGAAGGTCACGCTTGGAATACAGATAGTCTTTTCTTTCTTTCATGATAGGTGCTAAGTCAGGGTTGTAGGGTGGTCTTGGGATTTTTCAACCCCAAAAGCTAATTCAAGAGGAGAGGTTTTCTCTCACACTTATAAACTGACAACCAACCCCTTCCACAACTAATATGGAATAATCTCAACAATCTCTCCCTCACACATCGGGCCCCAAGTAGAAGCAAACATGTATATTGTGTGGACTGCTGAACAGAGATTTGTTGATAACCTGGGCTCTGACACCTGTGTTTGGTGGTCTTTGGTCTTTTTAACTTTAGAAACATGTACAAATGCTTTACACCGAACACAGGCAAGTGATCATAGGAAACATTCTTACCATTCCGAACTTGTCGGTACATCATACTATAAGGAAA